GAGATCGACCAGTGCAGTGGCCTCAAGCTGGTCGTCGATGAAGCTAAGAAACACCGCAATGTCAAGTGGGTGCTCTTCGAATCCTCCTTTGTTGATGTTGATGACGATTTAGTGACAGAACTGTGTGCTTCAGGTATGTGTATGTGTGGCATGCAATGGCCGGGTACTGGGGCGGGGTGAAGCCGGCGGCGGAGGGGATGGAGCACTACGAGAGCGCGCTGGCCTACCCGGTGCAGTCGCCGGGGGTGATGGGCAACCAGCCGGACATCGCCATGGACAGCCTCTCCGTTCACGGGCTGGGCCTCGTCCACCCCAAGAAGGTCTTCGGCTTCTACAACGAGCTGCACGCCTACTTGTCGTCCTGCGGCGTCGACGGCGTCAAGGTGGACGTCCAGAACATCATCGAGACGTTGGGGGCCGGCCACGGTGGCCGCGTCTCCCTCACCCGCGCCTACCACCAGGCCCTCGAGGCTTCCGTCGCCCGCAACTTCCCCGACAACGGTTGCATCTCCTGCATGTGCCACAACACCGACGGCCTCTACAGGCAACGCCTCTAAGTCTCTCTGCTGCTGCCCGTTGATGACACCAATGCTTGTATTTGTATTACCAACTTGGTTTGGTCGGTGCAGCGCGAAGCAGACGGCGGTGGTGAGGGCATCCGACGACTTCTATCCGAGGGACCCGGCGTCGCACACCATCCACATCTCCTCCGTGGCCTACAACACCCTCTTCCTGGGGGAATTCATGCAGCCCGACTGGGATATGTTCCATGTAAGTAGAAGAATCAGTTCTGCCATGAAAACTGTGTACCAATATGAGTTCTGCTGAGACGAGCATCTCTGTTTCCTCTGCACAGAGTCTCCACCCAGCAGCAGAGTACCATGGCGCTGCTCGAGCTGTTGGCGGCTGTCCCATCTATGTCAGGTAAGCAGCTGCGATCGGTCGTTGCTGCAGTTCCCTCTCTTGAAATTAAAGCTTAGCGCCAAGTTGATCCTCTTCGCTCTCAGTGACAAACCGGGACACCATAACTTCGAGCTACTGCACAAGCTAGTCTTGCCCGACGGCTCCATCCTTCGCGCCCAGCTCCCCGGCCGCCCAACACGCGACTGCCTCTTCTGCGACCCAGCCCGTGACGGCACCAGGTCGGTGGTCTCTTCCTTCCTTCCCCATTCCACGCGAAGTGACGAGCTACAGAGACGACGCTTGACACATCTCGCCCGTGCAGCTTGCTCAAGATATGGAACGTCAACAAGTGCTCTGGCGTGGTGGGTGTCTTCAATTGCCAGGGTGCCGGCTGGTGCAAGCTCGCCAAGAAGACATGCGTGCACGATGCTACCCCCGGGACGCTCACCGGCGCCGTCACTGCCACAGATGTCAACACAATCGCCCAACTCGCCGGCCCCGACTGGGACGGCCAAGCTGTCGTCTATGGCTTCAAATCAGGTTTGCGTCGCTCAGTCTGTTTTCTGCTCTTCGCTTGATAGCATCGAAAGATATGCTCGATCCATAGTGCTGTTTCTTTCTCTTGCATTTCTCAGGCGAGCTGATTCGGCTGCCAAAAGGCGCAGCTCTGCCGGTGACTCTCAAGGTTCTCGAGTACGAGGTCTTCCATGTCTGTCCTCTCGAGGTACATAACTCGATCCCTCCTTCAATCCTTCACTACACCTCGCAGCGAGGGGTCATCTCCATATTCCTTGTGCGTGCATGCATGCGCAGAACATCGCCCCAAACATATCATTCGCGCCGATCGGTCTGCTGGACATGTTCAACGCCGGTGGAGCGGTGGAGCACCTCGGCGTGCAGGTCACGTCGGCCGACGCGGTGGACGGAGACAACGGCAGCGCCCTCGGCGAGAACCGAGGGAGCACCGCGAGGGTGGTCCTCCGGCTGCGCGGCTGCGGCCGTCTCGGGGCGTACTCGTCCCAGCGGCCTCTCAAATGCACTCTGGATTCCTCGGACGTGGAGTTCGGCTACGAGGAGGAGACTGGGCTGCTGACCATCAACTTGCCGGTGCCGGAGAAGGAGATGTACAAGTGGAGTCTGGAGATCCAAGTTTAGCGGCACTTAATGATCGAGGGGTTGAGTGTGACGGAGATCGAAGGTGGATGTAGTGATGTTTGATGAACAACTAGCATCAAATAAACTCTCTCTCTCTCTCTCTTATATGGACTAATTAAATTTATGGCATGTGATTTCCAAACACATCTCATCCTCTTATCTTCTTCCCAAATCCTAAACTTTCATGATGAGGATAGTAATTATGATAAGACTCGACTGACGTCAGTCGACGCCTCACGCCTCGATCGACGTGACAACACCCGGTCAAACGAACCGGAACACCGGTCGAGGCGCATTAACGCCTACTCAGGCTCGGTTCTTCACGCCACGCCAACGCCCATGTCAGACGCTACCAGCTTGCCCCCTGCAGGCGGGCACATCAAACAACAGTAAGCTTTCCTATGAATACCCTCGCATTCTGAACGAGAAGGGGAGAACGAAAGAGACACACCAAACAACTTCTTCATCTGAATCCCCCCTTCACGTCAACTAACTTGATCATTGGAGGGGTCGGGCCGAGCACCCCGACCCGACCTTTGTGCAGGAGCGAAGCCGAAGGTCCCCGCGGGACGCGCAGACGAGGAGTCCTTGCTCGGAGGAGTCAACGACCCCGTCCCGACCATCGCGCTCGACCACCTCGGTGGGCTCGAGGAACGCCCCGGAGAGATCCCTGCCGTCTGGACCTAAACCGAGCCGCGTCGGCCCTGAGGCCACGGCTCCAGGTTGTTACACTAACAGATTGGCGCAAGAAGGAGGAGCTACTGGGAAAGTGAGGCGACGCTGGAGGCAAGGAACGACTGGAAAGGGGACAGCAAGACCCGAAGAAGAAGACTCAGCAGCGAGAGATGAGAACGAAGCCGGGCGCGCACTACTTAAAGGAAGGATCTCGCCAGAACCAGCGCCCCTTCGCCTCCTGAGAGTGGGTGATAGCCCACTCACGTCTGCGCCTATCCGCCATGTCACGTCAGGAAGGCCAAAGGACATCCCTCCATAATGGAGGCCTGGCGTGGCGACTCAAGGGCAAGCTAACCAAACGGCAGACCCCTGGCTCCTTGATTTCGATGCCTAAAAGCGTGCTGCAGATGCAAAGAGCTCCCCTTCAATGACGCAACAAGGCACAGAAGTTCCCAGTCCCCGCCGTTGCTAAACTCGCATGGAGGGACTACGACGCAAGTACCTCCTCGGCCCCATGCCCCGAGACACACCTGTACAGCCTGCCCGCCTGCGTCGTGCTACTCGGCCGCATGATGCCCGAAGCCACACCTGCGCGGCCTGCCCGCTTGCATCGTGCTCCTCGACTTCATGTCCCCGAGACACACCTGTGCGGCCAACTCGCCTGCGTCGTTCTCCTTGGCTTCATGCTCCCGAGACACACCTGCGCGGCCAACCCGCCTGCGTCGTGCTCCTCAGCACTATGCCTCCCGAGACACACC